TGACTGTTTCCCATACCATTAGATGTTTTTAAATATTCTTAAAACAATAATCATGCTGACTCCCTTGCAATATTTCTAGCCTATGTTTCTTTATGCTAGAAACATCTCCAAACAGAGTCTGACTTATTCCACACCATATTCAAAGACGAGAGTAGGCTTCCAATAGGTAGATAATAAGAAAATTTACTTTGCACTAGAAGGATAGCACTTTTCTCAGAATAATTGCAGAATTGTGGCTGGATTCTGCATAGTATTTGGCAAGTACAAATATAGTAAAAAGAAGAAGCTTTCTCACCTTGAGATATGTTCCAAAAGGGAAATGGGAAGAAGGAATGAAAATAGAGCATAGTGTACAGGGAAGATGTGAAGGACAAAGCCAGAAATGGAAGACAGTGTCTCAGTACACGCACATGCAGCACACACACTTGTACACAGATGTCTGCAGGCCTTGTATCAATAAACATGATCTCTATTTCATAGTTAAGAACTTCAGAATCAAAACTCAAAAGGAACCACAGAAATCAAGGGACAGTCTCAGAAATGCAGAGTAAACCAAGTGATGGCAGATAGATCCAAGGACGGGGCCTGCGATATTGACTGAGCACCTGTTACATAGAGCTATGGGCTGGCTGTGCCCATAGAAAGAGGAATAAATGAGCCCCAGTCCTTGGTCCCACTGCGCTCGGAGTCTCAAGGGAAGGCAGGATATAAGCAAGTCATTTGAGCACAGCTTTGGAACTTGCCGTGAGGAGTGAATGAAGGGCTGTGAGAGCCCAGCAGCAGGCAGACAAGGGCTCACAGGAAGAAGATTGGGAGGCCCCGGACAGGAAGCAACCTTGGAGCCAAGTGGAGAAGAATAAGACCTCACAAATGCAGGCGAAGTGGGGAGAAAGTGAGACAAGCTTTCAGCTAGGTTAGCAACAAAAACCAACTGGTGTTTAAAGGATTTTTTTTTTTTTTAATGAGCTTAAAAGCCAACAATAGTATATGCAGACTTGCCCTTTTTTCCATAAGTTATTTCCAAAAGGTTTTACAAAGGACAATGACATTTTTTAACATATTCCAATTAAGAATGGCCTCACCAATGGAATGAACCATACTATGAATCTGTTGTCTAAATAACCCTCGTGTGCCTTTCCCTGTCCCTGTGGACTTTATATACCACCGGTAGTTAGTGCAGTCATGAAAAGAGGTGCTTCTCTACTTGTGCCGTCCCTTAGTTCCAAATGCAGACTCCTGAATGAGTTTGATGTTTATTGGCTAAATCCCACTCTACCCAACACAGACATTTACCTACTTGTATAGTGACTACTGAATTACTATTCTGGTAGCAAAAGGCAGGTGATTTTAATTTTTGTTTGGTTTTGTTTCCTGAGACAACATCTCATTGCATAATCTAGGCTGGTCTTGTCCTGCCTCTAATATGTAGCATGGGCCAGTCTTGAACTCCTGGCAATCCTTTTGACTCAGCCTCCGGAGTACTGGGATTACAGGCATGTACTACTATGCTGGGCTAGCATTGACTCAAAAAAAAAAAAAAAAAAACGAAAATCAATTGAGATTTGAAAATTACCATATTTACAAAGCCAACTTAGTATTTTTAATTTGCAGACTTCATTTAAACCACTTGGCAACTTTTCTCACCCTACACAGTGACTCTTCAGGTAGGTCAGAGCTGTAATTACAACTTTGATAAAAAGAAATGGACATGAAGGGCAAGATTAGCTGCTTTCCCAAGAGAGGCTCTGCAGTCATCACCTGTTAAAACAGGTATTTTCTGCAGTGAGTGGAGCCGCATCTTCAGACCAGGGTTTTGTCCACTAAGTCACAAAGCTGTTCTTAGGAGATCACACTGCCTTTAGCTGAATTAGAACCCTTGAATCTTAACGATATTGAAATCATCTATGTATTTATCATGAAAGATCCTGTGTACATAATCTAGCCAAGGGGGTAGAACACAGGAATCTATTGTTATCTTTCAGTATTTTTCCTCTGATTAGCAGGCCAGAATATGTTTCACTGTGGTTAAAGTAAATAAAGACTCAAGATGGTTTGGTTTTTATTTTTTTTCCAAACAAAAACAAAAAGTTCAGTTGTCCTAAGAATAATGTGAAACAGATCAGGACTTCTATGTTAACTCTGATTCTTGATTATTTTAGGGGTAATATTGATGAAGACATTGTTCTGGTTCTATTGTTGCTGTATAATAAGTTATGCTGTGTAATAAGTTATAATAAGCAAAATCAATTATTTTATTTATTTTATTTATGTAGGTTTTTATTTATTTTGGTTTTTTTGAAACAGGATCTCACTATGCAATTTAGGCTGGCCTTGAGCTTGCTTCTGTATCCTAGGCTGGCCTCAAATTCATGGTGATCCTCCTGCCTCAGCCTCCCAAGTGCCAGGATTACAGGCATGTGCTACCACACCCAGAAAAATCATCATTTTAGATTACCTCCAGTTTTATGATTGGAAATTCAGAGAAAGCTAAGCCAGGCAGGCCTCTCCCAGGACAAGACAGGCAGCAGCAGTCAGGGGATGGCTGGGACTGCGGTGCCAGACGGCTCTACTGCTTACTCCTGAGGAATCTCAGGAGCTCAGAGGGGCTGTTAACCATAGCACCTGGATATGAGGTGTCTGTGAGTTGTCAGGCTTGCTGTGTGACAGACGGCATCCCCAGAGTGCTGCAGGAGAACCACAAAGTGGCCTTTTGCCACCAACTTCTGACATCACCGTCACGATCACAAAAGTCAACTGGTTTCAGTACAGTTGCTGAGATGGCTCTGCCTTGATGAAAGGAGTACCAGAAAATCTTCAGACACCTTTTGAAGTGGCTCTGAAGAGGGACACCCCTGAAATCCAAACACTCCAGGAGGCTCAAGAGGAAAATCACAAGTTAGTGACGTAGCGAGACCCTGTCTCAAAAATTAAAAAAAAAAATTAAGAAAGGGAAAGGCGGGGGGGATGAACCCCAGTGCGAAGGCCCTGGTTTAAAACCTAGTACTACTAGCAAGACTTTTTTTACATAAAAGAAAATAAAATTGTCATGTATGTGTTTTTATGTTCTTTAAAATAAGCACCTAACACATATTCTGCTAAGCTAGCACTATGTATCCACCTTAAGACCCTGCAAGTTGGTGAGTTCATTTTGTGCTTTCAGGATTCAGTGCAGGGTTCTAGGTTACAGCAAGTGGCTCTAAATGTTTGTTAAACTGAACAGGAGTGTGAGCAGCTCCAGGATCTCTGTGATGGCGCAGAGAAGGGACTCTGGGACTGCCAAGTGTTTGATTCTGATAAGTTGGGAAGTTTGTCTTCCTGATAATACCACTCTAGAAGGAGATAACCCAAAAGCTTGGAGTTCTTAAGGAAAGAGAGTCTCGGGCATTCTGCAGTCCCATCTTCCTCACCTTCCTCCCCTGCCAAGACCCAGAGCAGTTAGGTAACAAAACCAAGTTCTGAAGGTAATGTCTCTACTCCCTGCTTTTGGCCACCACCAAGCATTGTTTTGACAATGACTGGACTGTGACTTATCAAACTCTAAGGAGATCAGGTGGGTAGATCTTAGACACAAGGGTGAGAGGAGACTTCTGCCAGTATGTTGATCTGGGCAGGAAGCCTTTTCTTCCCTGACCTCCTATCCATTCCAGGTAGATAAGAAAGGACCCAGAAAGATCTTACCAGAGAAAATGGAACCCTCTCTTCAGATACACTTCTGAAAAATTAATTTCCTGCCTCTGACTCCCAGCAAAATCTTGTAGTTTATGCATCTGGTACAGAGCCGAATCTGGAAGACTCCCTGTAATTTACTGAAAGCGTACAAGGAAGTGGCCGTATGTATTCTACGTCAAACCATGATGCAAGTCTTTGTCCTGATCACGGAGGTCAGGAGCACAGAATGTCCAGTTGCCTACTTTTCATCAAAAGATGCAGTCTGGGTAGGAAGAATAGTTTTTTAAAGTGGCCACCCCATTGATTAACACAAAGGAAGAAACCACACTTCGCCACTGGAAGTTTGCATAGCTTCTCGTGACAAAAGAAGCTCATGTCTTGACTTTACACTGGGGCTACACTCAAGATTTTTGCAACTGAATAAATGTCATGTTTATTGAGGAAGGTAATTGTAGTATCTACAATTTGTTGTTAAACTAACTTTTGAAGTCATTAAATATATCCTGAATTCAATTCATTGAATTGGTGCTGGTGTAAGCACTCAGTCTATGTTAATTCCCCTGATCTTCTTCCTCCTCTTCTTCTTCCTCCTTCTCTTCTTCCTCTTCTTCCTCCTCTTCCTCCTCCTCCTTGCTCATTTTGTTTGTTTGTGATACTGGGAACTGAACACAGGGCTTTCACACTGAGCTACATCTCCAGCCTTTTTATTGTTTTTTGTTTGAGACATAGTCTCACTAAGTTACTACGTTACCCAGACTGGGTTTGAACTTGTGACCCTCTGTCTCAACCTTCCAGAGTGCTAGGATTACAGGCATATACCACCACACCCAGTCATTAATTCTCCTTTTTTTAACCACAGCGTTGTACAGGAAGTGATTCACCTTCTCAATAGTCAGTATTTCTCTTAAAAACTCTGAGTCTTAATTAGCAAGGAAAAAAATTCACTCACTTTTGACCTCTTGAACTTACTAAACCACCTTCCAACCTCCTTGTATTATTATTAATTAAGATTCTTCAGAGACGTGTGTGTGTGTGTGTGTGTGTGTGTGTGTGGCATTGTGAGTATATAAGGAAATTATTTTTCACAAAGGATTGACTCATATGATTATGGAAGCTGACAGATCCCAGGATCAGCAAGCAGCAAGCTGCAAACTCAGGAGGACCAAAGTGCAGTTCCAGTCAGAATCGGAAAGCCCGAAAACCAGGGGAGCAGATGGTGTAGGCCAGATGCCAGCAGGCTGGGAGACCCAGGAATAGCAGGTGATTCAGTTCACAGCTAAAGACAGGAAGGAAAAAAGTGCTCTAGGTCCAGTCAATCAGACAGGAGGAAATTCCCTTTCGTAATGAACCAGAACTTTTGTTTTATTTAGACCTTCAACAGACCGGATAAGGCCCACCAACAATATGGAGAGAGTCTGCTTCACTCAGTCTACTGATTCAAATGGGCACCTCATCTAGAAACATCCCCAGACATAATCTGGGCACCCAGTGGACCAGTTACATTAACATATCAAATTATACAAGGCTCTCCCTTTCCACTGAACAATAACCAAACACACTGGGATTTCAGGTGGCATTTGCATGCTTATAACAGAAAAGACGTTCTGTTTTATGAAGGATGTATCATGTAGTCAGTGCTTGTGTTTTACTTTATGTTCAGAGCATTTTATAGGCATGTGACTAAATGAGATGTTCCCATTGCTGCTGTCTCCAGAAATAGGATGTGTGAGGGTGATGGGGGACTGGGGAGAGAAAAGCAGTCTACCTCCTTGTATGGTCACCTCTAGTTACCCAAGGAAGAACTGCCCATGCAAGCTTTCTTAGCACTCCAGGAGATATTAGACTGCTTCCTGACATACCACAGTGAATACAGCAGAGCTGTTCAGTCATTCTGAGACTTGATGCCATTTTGTTTCCTGTAGCTGGAAAGCAAACCATCTGTAGAGTAGAATCCACTAGGATTCAGTGATGGTTTATCTAAAATTCAGGAATCATCACTTTGGTCTTATTCATAAACCAGGAGCCTTTTCTCCCTCTGTGACAGAAGGTCTGGCTTGCACAGTGAGGGCTGCAGGTACAGTGTTTAAGAGCAGTGCTAGCCATCACTCCAGCTATCTGGCATCCAATAGCCCAGGACCAAACACAGGGAACCTGGTAGCATCAAATTATAAAACAGAATTATAATAATCACAGTGAAAAAAGGATTTTTGTGCTTGTCTTAATATTATTCATAATATTTATGCTTACCATGCTATAAAGTAAGTACATTTCTTGTCCTCATTCTAGAGTTTGGAAGAAGGAGAAAATGAACCTAAGTCACTCATTCTAAGGTCACTTAGCAGATAAGTGGCAAGGATACTTGCAAAGGTTTGAAGCCAAGAAGTTGGCTTAAAGTCTAACCACTGAATTAACTCCACCTCTTTTAGTGGAGTGAGTTCTCTCTAGGCCAGACAAAGCCATGGCTGCCCCAGTGACCTCTAGGGCGCTGCTTGCCCTGCCAACTCCCCAGGCATTGCTTGGCAAAGCTGACCCTTTCTGATCTCCAGACACACCCTTTAGTTCCAGGCAGAGGACTGTGGCAGATAAAGTGGGAGAGCAGAGCTGGTGGCCTAGAGGCCTGTCCTCCAGACTGCCGTCCTGTGTTACATAGTTATCCTGGGAATCGAGCTGAGGACCTCCTGCCAGCCATGCAGGTGCTTGTGCCACTAAACTGTATCCTCAACCCCTGTCCTGAGGTTCCTTCCACTCCACTCACCCTTATCACTTAACCATCCACCCAACCTCGCCTTCCTCAGAGCTTTGCCCCCACTCTTACACTTCACTTTGCCCTCAGACGCTTTTGTTCTTTTGGTGGCAAGAATCTCGGAGCTTCATTTTAATGGCATGGCCAGCAGGATGACCTTTGCCCTCCTTGGTTGCTGAGCACACACACTGAAGGCCTCCTCCCTCACAGGTGCAGGCCTGGGCATAGCTTGATAGCAGGAAAGAAAGCAAACACAGCCCCTGCCCTTACACAGCTTATAGTCTGCTGAGAAAGACAAACATCATCCAAAGAATACACATAAAGGAGGACACTGCATGTGAGGAGCTTGTGATGGTAATGGAGCAGCGAGGGAGGGCAGCAGAGGCTTCCAGGCACCTGGTGCCCAGCTCAGGGCTGCAGGAGAGGGAGTGTGAGCCCCAGCGTGGGGTGGCTGTGAGTAGCTAGATGCACTGAACGCAGGACTGGCTGGGCAAGAGGCCCACCCCCTGTCTGCTTAGAATAGCTCTTTCCACTCAGTGCACATTGGGTCACCTGGGGAGCATCGAAAAATACTGATAAAAGGATCCTGCTCGACAACCGCTTGATTCAAATTTTTGGAAATGAGAAGTATATTTTTGTTTGTTTGTTTGTTTTCAAGCTTCCAGATGATTTCACCATGAAGCCATGGGTGAGGCTGTTGACCTAGGGAACCGGAAGTCACTCAAACGTTGAGGAGAGAATGTGCTCTGAGCTTGTTTGGGGAGATGGATGCCGTGATTCCTTCTACATTTCACCAAGCACCCTCTAGTTGGAACTGTGAAGTGAAGAATGCAAAGGATTAGGGAGTTCAAAAATAAGAGAAAAATTTTGCGACGACTAAGTCAGTTTAGGTGACAGTAGCGACAATGGAGATGGAAAGAAATGGATTATGTCTAAGGAATTTCCAGTTATTTAAACACAGGCCAGGAGAATCATGAAATGACAAACTTGGTATGGAGGAAGGAGAACAAATGGCCACCAGGCTTTGCTTACACAGCAGAATGGGTTGCTGGGCCATTCATTGGCATAGGGACAAGGACTCAAATTGGAATGCTTAGAATAGGAAAGAGACTTTGATTGTAGCACATAAATTACACTTTAATTTCATCATCATTTACTTCTTTATGTCTCTCTCTAAGTCATCAATACAATATTTGCCAACTTTTGCTGCTTATTATTCATTAAAACAAACTGCAATATTAGGCACAAACTGCAATAATAGTGATAGCCAAAAACTGATAAGCTAAGTGTTGAATTTTTTTTTTGTACCAGGGATCAAACTCAAGACCTTGTGCTTTCCAGGCAGGCACTTATGCCACTGAGCTATTGAACGTCCTAAATTCAGTAGTTTGGCCTGCTTAATCAGCTCTCAGTTGTAATTTGAAGGCATTTATTGATTGACAAGTTAACTTTCCAGAAATGATACATATTTCCCTAGTAAAATTATTTCTGTTTCATGTCCTTAAAATTGTGTTTCATTGCTTACTTGTATTTAAGACATCTAGTGACAAGTGACAGCAATGCCATTCCAATGAGTTTGCACAAAAAGAACCTTTTATTTTAAGGCTATGAAGGTACCTTATGTAACAGAGTACAAGAATAAATCTGAAGCTAGGTTTCAGGGAAAACTAGAATCATGAATTCATGACTTCACAGGTCACTCTCCTCAGTGCTTCCTCTCTGCACGCCTATTTTGTTCTTCTTTGTCTCTCTCACAAACCAGCTTCCATGATTTTTCTTGTCAATAATACAGGAAAGATACCAACTGATACCTCCTGAGGCTTTAAGTGCTAGAGCTCAGACTTCCTGACTCTTATGGCACAAAATCCAAACTCCTGGATGAAGAACTCTTTGGTTCAGTTAGGTCAGCCGTCCTCCTATAGATCAATCAGCCATGGCCAGGCAGCAGGAGCTAGGGGAAGAGTTCTGATTATCCCACTTTGATTCATACACCCTGATGCACTGTGACCAGATTGGATGTTCCTGTAATAACTCAGCGGGATTACCTTAGGATGCAGGCACAAGACCAGAATAAAAGAAGCCAGGAAAACAGTAGAAGTGTGTCCCTAACTCTTGCTATCCCTGGAATCTTCAGTGTCCCCTAAATGTCCATGAAGTAAAAGTTTATTCCTCCAAGTGCTGCTATTGGGATACAGCGAAGCCTGTGGGAGATAGGGATCTACAAGACGCCTTGAGGTCCTTAGCTGTGTGTTTTTGAAAGGGATTGTAAGACGCCAGTCCCTTCCTCTTTCTTTTACTTCCCAGACATAAAGTGAGAGGTTTTGTTCCACCATATAGTTCTGCCATAATGTACCATCAGCAGCTCAAAGCAACAGCACCAGGTAGTCATGGGCTGAAACCTCCAAAACCGTGATCCAAAATAATTCTTTTCTTTTTTATAAATTGATTATCTGAAGTATTTGTTATTGTGACAGAAAGCTAACCTGCATCTCAACTGAGTAAATGAATGTATGTGAGCCACAAGACCTAAGTGAAGATAACTCTAAGAATGTTGATTTTACAAATATTTCATCTCTCCAGATTGCTTTGTTAGAAATTTAATATGGCAACTACAGTCTCTGAAAGTTCTAAAATTTCATATAAGATAGTGATCGATGCTAATAGTTTTGCACTTGCATATGATTTGGACCATGAGGGTGCATTTGCACATGATTGTTTTCAACAAAGCAATGCAATAGTTTTGAAATTATGTTGATTTTAAATGTAATTTGCATTTCTGTAGATAAAAATTATATAACACACTCTAGTTCGTTTGATTCTTGTTTGATTAACAGGTGGGCTCCTCCAAGCCCTAAGAGAAATAGCAGGAGTTGAAATTTCAATGGCATCTGGGAAAAATGTACTTTGTTCCCTTCAAAATATAGAACATGTTAGACGACAAGTCATAAAGATGCTAATTTTGATAGTGTATTCCTTTGAAGCTCTAAGATAAAATAAGGGTTTTATGTATTACTGGTGATGAAAATGATCATAAATAAAGATCTCTTATGAGCTTTTTTTATGGCAGGCATGAAAAAGCATCAGGAAATAATCAGGTCAACATTCTCTCCTGGCTTTCAGAGCAAACCTTCTCTGCAGGGAAGGGAGACAGACTCTACACCCCAGGTGTTCTCAACCTGTGGACTTTGCCTCCAGGAACTAACATTGTAGTTAGGACTAACTATATGGCTCAGAACATTTATAAATAATCCATTCTTGAGTGCTACATAGACAACTTAATTTAGCAGAAAGAGAAGTTAGGAGCTGAAAGTCCAAGCAGGCTTGAATTTCTGGGCTGACTTGCGAAGTCCAGTAGATGCGATCGATCTTGGGTGCCCTTGTGCCCTATTAATGAGTACATGCTGTGCTCTGTCTTTTTGTATTTACCTTTAACTTCACCCTCCACCTGCTTGATGGTCCCTATCATTCTTCCAGTCTTGTTCTCATTTTCTGCCCTTTGGGGAGCCCCCAAAGAGCCTTACAAAACTCAAGACTAAAAACATCACATCTGTGGTTTGGGGATGTAGGTTTCTGTTTTGACCCTGCTTTGTCTGTTCAGTGTAACCTGAACGTAAGGAAATTTTTTAATCTCTCCAGGTTTCTATTTCCTCCTCTTTAAGCCAAATGGGGAGGAATTATATATATGCTAAATAGTCTTGCGGCTATTAATCTGTACGAGAACTTCTCTCAGATATGCTTGAATCTTTACAAGGTGGAAGAGAGATCATCCCTATTATTCTCCAGCATAATTTATAGCAAGAGTCAGCAAATTTTTTCCGTGAAGAGTAAGATAGTACATAGTTTAGGCATTGTGGGCCACATAATTTTTATTGCAACAATTGAATTTAGTTCTTCCAGAGTAGCATGAAAGCAGCATAGACAACTTCAAAGGTTATTTATTTAGTTATTTTGGGACAATGTCTCACTATGTAGTTCACGCTGGCCTCAAACTTGTGGTCTTCCTCCTGCCTCAGCCTCCCAAGTGCTGGGATTACCGGCATGTGTCATCATCTAAACCCAACTCTCAAAAATCATTTAAGATGTAGGCAGTGGGCCTGGCAGGGGTCCACAGGGTACAGGCGGCAGACCCCTGGTTTAGAGTATACTGTCTAGACACAAAGATTTGAGCTGAAAGCCCAGCTCTTTTCCTTACTGTAAAATGGGAGAGTGGTGTTACACATACCTTGTGGGGCCTTTGTGGAGACAAGATGATTGGCACACACAAGCTTGAATTCCTCTATTCATGGACTTCCTGCTGTGAGCATGGACAGCCCACCCTTCTTCCAGGACCAGGCACATGCACTCAGCCTGCCCCAGGCTAACGGCTCCTGTGGCCACTGGCCTTATACCACTTTGGCTCTAAAACAAATGACCTCGTGGCCTTCTGCAAGGTGACCCACTGGGAAGCCAAGAAGATTTCTCCTGGAAAAGAACAAGGAAGTAAAAGCACAGCTAAGTCACCTCTGTTACAGTGCTGAGCCTCAGCTTATGCAGACGCCTGCTTTTAGTTTTCACTATCTAGTGATACAAGGCTTTTAGCGTTATACAGAAGTTGGTAAGAAAATGGGAGGACTTTAGGATGTAGTTTTAATGGATTGTGTTGTGGAGGTGGTGGCAGAGGCAGGAATAAGGACGTGTGCAAGAATACGTGCTCGCGTAAAGGCTTGGGAGTGGATGTGACTTTTTTTGCTTCAAAATCAGTGACTGGAAGAGCAGGACTCTCCTGCTCCTTTGTCACAGAACTGCGCGGGGCAGGATTTTATGACATTTCAGGGTTTGATAAGTGTTCTTAGGATTGCATCATCAGCCCCACATTGTTCCTCCTGCTTTTCATGTGGCACCATGCCTGAATTTTGTACACGATTATTAATCTTTTACAAGGGCATTGTTGACAGTTCTGTAATCATTTATTTGAGTCATAAATTTTTTCTTTGATAAGTCAACGGTGCCTGTTATATTTGGCAAGTATTTACCAGAGACTAGCTAAGCCAGAATGATTACCACAGAGATCATGGCTAAAACAGTGAGGCCAAGGGTCTTAGTAGATTTTGCTTCTTTGTCAAGGCTCTGACTCTTAACCAGCTGTGTGCCTTGAATCACCAAATACTTTTGTATCATAGAAACAGTTCTATAGCTTTCCTGGGACTCAGTTTCCTCATCTGAAACACAAGAGAGTTAAACTAGATGCCCAAAGTTCTTGTCAATCCTGTCAATCCCTCAAGCAGAGAACAAAGTTACACCAGAGGTCTGTCATTCTGTAGTGGTCATCTCAAGTCCTCCTTGGGCTGTTCCAATACTTCTAGTCAATCTGTGGGAGTGACAGATCACTTAGTAATCACTGTAGTTAGATGAGAATTACCTAGGAAAGGCCACAGGTGCAGGGTCAGGAGCACATTACTACAGTGTCAAAAGCTGTGGACCCTGCATCAGGAGGCCCGTGTAGAGACTTGGTTCTGTTGCTTACCACCCATGGGGCCTGGCCAAACCATATCACCTACCAAGTCTGCTTCTTCATCCACAAAATGAAAAGCATCACCTATGTTCTGTCTAAAACCCAGGGTTCATGCATCAAATAAAACAATTCTGGTAAAAGGCCTCTTTAAATATCAAAATCCAATACAAACGCCATCATAAATGTGAATCTCTTTTTGAAATGGAAAACATGAGGTATGTTTTTCAAGAACATTAGTTATTAAAGAACCAGCCACCTATCAGCATTCTAAATTATTGATAATAATTTCTTTAAAAAGCATTTTATTCCTGAACACAGAAAAGAAATCCTTGCTAACATCATTATATATTCCCATGATAAAGACTTTGAGTGCTAAAAGTTTCTAAGCCTCTTTAGAAAAAATCAGTACTGTCAGAATATAGTCGCACCTGATCCAAAGTGTTTTCTTTGCATGCAGAGCTTGGCAGGGCCCAGAGAAAAGGCAACATGATAGGAGCTCGATTGGGGAGGCTGATGGGTAATGTGTTTCCTTTATTCTGTGAGGCTGTCTAATACTGCAGGCTAGGTTCTGTCGGCATCTCTGACAGCTCTGGGTCCCCTCCAGTGCAGGGAACAAAGGCTGGGGTTTCTTTTGAATACTTCTTTCTGAGCAGTGAGATTGTCCAACACAGTTTTCTTGATAAAGGGCTCATTATCTATCAGTGTGACTTTACTGGTAATTTTTTATTCTGGCAGCGCCAACAAGAGCATATTGAAGCAAATCCTTTTACCCAGAGGACTGTAACAGCACCCTGGCCATTGGAGCCAATGCTTAAGGCTTGGGTGTGGGAAATAATCAACCACAGGCTATATTTCCAATTAGTTGAATCATCAAGAAATGTAATTTATTAGCTTGCTTTTCATTGTTTTTATACTCCTTGTCACTTTCTAATGCAAGCTTATTTTCCAATTTTAAAAAGGAGTGGAATATTTCACAATTGCATTTACGGCTCAGGGGACACATTTTTTATAGTTCTAAGAAGGTTACTTTTATTACAGTAAGGTGGCTCCAGAACTTTGGGTTAAGTGACCCCTAAAGAAGAAATCAGTATAAAAATCAACAGAATGAATCAGTCTGAGAGAGAATAAGTCTGAAAAGAGTGGAGAGAAACTTGTATCATTCAAAGCTGCACAAGGTGATTAAATTTAGTCTCTAAGACGTAGCACTGGAGGGTAATGTTAAATCAGGAAGCTGAGAGCTGATGGTACTATAAGGTTTGTCAAAGAATTTTAATCAAACTGAGGTGTGAGAAGCTCACATAAAATAAAGTCAGAGAATTAAAAAACTCTGTTTATTAGCTGGTCCAAGGGAGCTAGCTTCTGAGACCAGGGGTACACACATGCTGCTCCCTAGGGAAATGTGCTCTGTTGCGTACCTGGCATGCCTCAATAGGGTTTTTTATACCCGGGTTAAAAAAAGCCAAAAAGGCTATCCATCATCATTTCACTGAGCCCAGCTCATTGAAAGCACCATTTCAATGAATAATTCCTCTTCAGATTTTCCTAGTATTAGGAAGTGGATGATGTGAACATGAAAATTTTCAAGCTGCTGTATGTGGCTGTTCATCTTGTACACGGGACAAGAGTATCGTATCACAGGGAAAATCGACCACAAAATCAACAGATCTGAATACAATACAATTTTATGGAGGATATCAGAAACCTAGGTTTTTAATAAAACCAGTATATTCTAATTTTCTGACCGATGAATTTAGAACGCTGTGAGAGGGAAAATCCTTTTTTCTTACAGATTTACTGAGGGGCATCTCACGTAATAAACCTCACATATTTAAAGTATATAATTTAACAAAAAATAAGTGTACAATTTAATGAGTTTTGGCATACATATACACCCAGGAATCCATCACAACTGAGACAGTTTTCATCCCTCCAAATTTTTGCATGGCTTCCTGTAATCTATTTATCATTACCCCTACCATGTTCCAGTGATTCATCAGGTAACCAATGGTCTGCTTTGTATCACAGGTTAGTTTGTATTTTCTAAAATTTCAAATAAAATCAAATCATTTGCATACCATTTGGTAGCTTTTTTTGTTTTGCTTTCATTTGTTCATTTGATTGTGTGATCTTTTTTCTCTCGATATTATAATTTTGAGATTCATCCAAGTCATGTGAGCTAATAGTTCATCCCTTTTTTGCCAATAATTTTCCACTGTGGAAATACCATCACCTATTTATTCATTCAACAATTGATGGGATTTGGGGTTGCTTATAGTTTGGAGCTACTACAAATATAGTTGGTATAAACATTAATTTACAAGTCTTGGCATGGACATATTCATTTCTCTAGGGCAAATACTAGGAGTAGAATAATTTAATCTTATTGTAGAGGCATTTACTGTAATAAAGCTTTGTTCTTGATTGTACCACTTTACATTATTTTCACCAGTGTGACAGAATTGCAATGTTCCATATCCTTGTCAACATTTAGCATAGTCAACTTGTGTAATTCTGGATAGGTATAGCAGTATCTCATTGTGTTTTCTTTTGCAATCCAAAAAGCATTTATTGAGAACCTAGAAAACAAACATAAGAATTTTTTAAGTACAGTTGGTCTTTAATATCTTTTCAAAAATTTCTTTTATGGCAAAATATGTACTTTGTACAATTCAGTGCCATTGATTACTTTACATTGTTATGCAACCATCACCATGATTTTCAAGATTTTTCATCATTTCAAACAAAAAATCTGAATATGTTCAGTAGTAAGTCCTCACTCCTAGTATCCCATGCTGTAATCTCTATTTTCTGTGAAATTGTCTCTTTTTTGTGAATTTTTTCTGGAAAGTTAGTGTAAATGAAATCATGGAATATTTCTTCTTTTGTGTCTGGCTTATTTCATCAGTATGTTTTTAGGCTCATGTATGCTGGTACAGGTATAAGCACTCTCTTCTTACATCTAAATAATATTATTTTGTATGTATGTGTGTGGATCACATTTATATGCTTATTCACTTGTATGTTCATGAACACATTGTTTGCAGCTTTGGGCTATTGTTGAATATTGCTTCTGTAAAATTTGATATATAAGTATCTGTTTGACATGTTTTTAATTTGCATTTCTCTAATGATTGAAGGTGCTTCTATAAATGTGTTTTTTGTCATCTACATATCTTTGTTGCTGTTATTCAAATTTTTTTACCAATGTTTAAAACCATTTTTAAATTATTGAATTGTAAAGTTCTAATGTCTAAATACAAGTCCTTCACTGGATGCATATGTTTCAAATATTTCTTACCAAAATTTGACTTGTTATTTTCCTAATATCTGTAAGACAGCAAAGATTTTCAACTTTGATTAAGATCCAACTTGATCATTTTTTTGCCTTGTATATCCTGTAAGCTTTATGTGTTCTAATACTAAAAAATATTTGATAAGTCTATGTTTTCTTTTAAGAAGCTTTACAAGTTTAGTTCTTAAATTTGAGGCTATGAAGTAAGTTTTTATATGATGATACAAGTTCATTTTTCCTTGTGTATGTCCTTTTTGTATGTCCTCAAGCTGGTATTTGTAGACTGCCATCATGCATGATCCTATTGGTCTGTCCCAAAACTGGCTCTGAGTTACCCAACCTGCAGACATGTTATTGGAGCAGCACTTCTACTGTAAGGTTTTAATATTCACAAATATAAGAACTTGGAGACAAGTTTTATGTTACCCTTTCATTCCTTCTTCTTTATAGAGTGCCTATTAGGAATCAGGGAACCCATTAGTGCTAGAGCTGTATAAAAGTAAAAAGTGGCCTTTGCATTCAAGAAAATGGCCACATAATAATTTGTTTCTATGTTTTATACCTTATTTACTCAATTGAGATTACTTTGTAAAGCCCAATTTTTTTATTATAGGTATTTTTGAGAGTAAATATTAAATAAATTTAACTACCATGGAGGTGTCTCACCACTTACATCTCATGCTGGTAGGTTTATTTACAGACTTATTCCAAAAGAATGGAGACTGATGGGTGAAAAGAGACAGAATTCCCCAAAGCATAGACTTTTGAGTGTATTGACTGTGATCTGACTTGCCCTCTGTTGTAAAGTCAGAAGTTTCCAACTTTGTAAGCTAATAAGCAACAGAATGAGGATTTTAGCACTGTTTACTTATGGATTATTACTCTCCTAGTAAGCCTCCTACTCAATATTTTTTCATTTTTCTCTATTATAGTGTTTTACCTGAATAACTCACAATAGGTGAAGATTTTAAGCTAAGTAATAAACAGATTTCTCCCTGTTATGTCCTGTATCTAGATGTTCCCCCAGAGTCTCATGTGGTCATAAGTGGAGCATTTTGAAAGTGACCGGGTTAGGTTGTGGGCATGTGGATTAAGGTTGTGGATAATAGAAGCCCCATCCTGGGTATGAGCGGCACCAACTCATAAATAAATTTGTAGCCTAGATGGAATATAGACTATAACAGAACAGAAAGAAGTGGGCTGGCTGCTTCTGCTCCTCCTCTTTCTCTTTCTTCTTTGCTTCCTCTTGCCCACCCTGTCATGGACTGTTTCTCCTCTGTGATGCCCCTTGGCCACACCAACCTGCCTTGGAATTGGCCTACAGTGGGATGAAACTTCTACAAACTGTGATCCAAAATAAACCTTTCCTCCATTAATTTGTGTGTATTAGGTATTTTTCCCAGCAACCAGAAAAGTTGACTAAGACAGATTTTGATACCAGATGA